GGTTTTTTTCAGGTTAAACTACCACAGCACAGATTAGCAGTGAAACTCTATTGATCCTTTATGAGAAGCAGTTACCTCCCCAGCTCTTACCAGCAATTTTCTTGGAAAGGCTTTTCCAAGACAGACCTCCTCTTGGAAGAAGGAGTTGCTTCTGCCTAGTCCTAGAAGCAGGCTGGAAGGATCACCCACACGACCACAAACAGCACTATTTTAGCACAGAGCTGACTGATAGCTCCAGGCACTGATTCCCTGTTGGTCAAGGGGGCTCAGCTTCAATCCAGTACCAGCCATGGCTAGTGCTAATTCTGCTCCAGCCAGACTCTGACCCATTGCTCTGTCTTAGACCTCTGTTGCAAGGTGTGTTTATTGAGAAAGATACTTGAGATGTAGCAATCCTTAAGATAAGCAAGGACTTGAGGGAATGGTAGGGAAGTTGTCCTTTCAACAAGCTAAGAAGCCAGCAAATAAATCTGACACAACAACTGCAACAGGCTGTGACACTAGAAATTAATGTGTATCACTTCTGTGCTAGGTCTGAATGGAGCTGTCTCTGCTCACTGTCTGAGGGTCTCTAATTCCCTTTTTCCTCAGGGAAGAACCTTGCATGAAAAGTTCAGCTGTATGTACTCTGAGTCTTGTGAATCACTTGATTGTGGTCAAAGCCACTGTCATCTTTCAGTTGCTAACTGGCTTCCTAAACATGCCTACAGAAACAGTAGGATTGCTGTGTGGTAAACAAATTACTTTTGACAGGAGATTGCCAGCACTGCTCCCAGACGCCAGGGAAGCCACAAGATGGGCTGCACAGTGTCTGACTGGAGCAGCTCTAGCATTGCATCTACAGCTAGTGCAGTGTCAGGCTGCTTCTGCAAGCACTGACAAAGAACCGAGCCTGCAAACTCCCACCACCATCTGCTGAAGCTTCATATCCCAAAGGAAAAATTGATTTTTGCTTACATGTATCTTTAAGCATTTCAACAGCAGAAAAGGCAAGGGCGTAGACACTCTCTCTAGCTAAAAACACACATTTTTTTCTTTATAAGAAAGGCAGGGTTTCTTTCAAAAGCTTTAGAACCTTTAGTCCCTTTCTGGAGAGAAATCCTTAGGACAGGTACTGCTGAGCTCCCAAACAAGTTATTTCTAGAATGTGAAGACAAACAAAGGTTCCAAAAGGTCTGCAAAGGGCCCTGAGATGTTACACAGCAAAGTGAGTATCAGCAGACAGTGGAGATTTTTTTTCCCCTTGTGCTTCACCTTGAAGCAGCTGTTAGCAAAGCCAGAAAAGTCCTCTGCCCCTTGGTGTATTTAGTACAGCCTTGGCAAAGGGACTGCAGTCAGCTCATGAATATGGGAATTGCCTAATTCTCCAGATATTCTTATTACCTCAGCCCAAGGATCCCAGCTTTTCATAACTAATTCCTGAAATCACAGACTTCCCACTGTCCTTTCTGTCCTTGAGCAGCAAATCGCTCCTCCTCATGTAACAGATGCTGGTGCCTGCTGTGGTGCCACCAGTTTTCCCAGGGCCCTTCCCTAGCAGGGATGACACTGTGGACAAAGTTACTGACCCCCGCACAGTTCCCAGAGATACTCACCCTTTGTTGCTGTAACTTACAGGAGGATGTCTGGAAAATAACAAATGCTGCACAGCCCTGTGCAGTGGCTCGGGCTGGCTGAACATTCTGAAGCCTGGGCAGTGGGCTGGCAGCTGTAATGCAATCTGTCTCTGGCAGCAGAGATCTGTCACCCTGCTCCTACAAGCCAACTCCCTCCACATCCCACCTCATCTGTGACTCCCACAAAGACTCAGGATTTGCAGTGCCTCCCACCTGTCACTTCATTTTGCCCTCATTGTCATATACATCCTCAGTCCACCTTCCCTCTCTGTGTCCATGTACCTGTTTTCTACCTCTTTGTTATTTTCCCTTATCTCACTGATCCTGCCAGCCCTGTCTATCTTCCCAAGACTCAGAGCTAAAGCTGTTCCTGTGCTGGAAGGTGGTAATGACTGCCAGGAACCAGCTGTGAGGGCCACTGCAAACTGAAAAACAGATGGAAGCTGAGATTGGGCTAATTATGAAGCAGAGACTGCAAAACTTATGGAGATGCTGGCCAGAGGTGCCCAGTTTATTCTCAAACAGGTACATCCTTTGAATGTTGGCAGGTGACATGGGAGCAGGAAACTCATCAAGCTTTCCAATCGTGGCTATGGAGTGCTGCGTGTGATGCCTCCTCATCTCACTAACACCCACGACTGCTGCTGCCAAGCTGCTCTGGACAAGGAGAATGTGCTCACTGCAGCGGCAGCTGAGGAAATCTCCAGGCTGGTTCCAAGGGCTACACTCCTGCAGGGCACAGGGAGATTCAATCTTTTCTTGTAGCCAAGAAGCAGCTACAGCAGCACAGGTTATACTGCAACAGGATCTTGGCAAGGTGGAAAAAACCCATTAAGATCTTCCTGCTTCTTTTATGATAATTTTTTTTCCTAAGAGCTTGCCAAAAGAGTAACTGCATCAATGGAAAATAAAAACTAGGTTAAGTCCTCTAGTAGTTCATTCCTTAGTTCCAAACTGGCCCATTCACAAGCTGCAGAAGAAATCACCTCCAAAGTCCATGATTTTCTAATCAGAACCTCTCTTTCAATTAGTCATGTTATAGGGCGGTAAACACATTAATTCCATCAATACTATAGAACAGTCATGCTGCATCTGTATTAACATAAATGTGTGCTGATGTGCCATAGAGCTAATCTGATATGACAGCAATTGGCTGATGCCCAGTCATGGAGGCCCTGGAGCTATGCTTGCTATCTCTCCTTTAGAAGAGCTGTCCTCTGAAACACTGGAAAGAAACCAACTGTGATGCTATATCTTGCCTGGCATCAATCAGCAATGCCTCTTGCACCCGCATCACTGAGGTGTTTGAGGTTGGGTGGGAATTGTTTAGTTGGGGGAGCTGTATTTGAAGTGCAACTTGATCTCCTACAAACTTAAATATTAAGAAATCAGGATTTCCAGACTATCTTGTTAGACTAAATCAGACTCGGCAAGCTCGCAATGGATAATAAACTCAGAAAATCCATAAAAGCATTCCTTTCCCTTTCCTCTCTGACTACTGGGAGCTGTACATCATCACCTAGTCTGCAGTAGGCTTAACTTACACAGATGAAGCTTAAGGAGCTTAAAACTTCATAAATGCTTTGAGGCTACCGATGTTATCTTGTACAGTGCTCTACAGAGGCAAGCCTTAAATCTGAGACTACAGCTGGGGTTCTCTACTTAAAGGCCTTAAAGGAGATCAATATAAGCAATGCCTAAGGATGTGAGCCAGATCTCAAACACAGTCCATCTCCTGTCTGGTCCATGAAAGCAAGTGGACAGACTGAAAAACCAGGCTAGGTTCAGGAGTCTTTGCAGTTGCAGTCACTTATTTTGCTTTTGGCAATATACCCTTCAAAGAGCCTTACTGAGGAGAGACCATGTCTCTTTTTGAGGGAGGCTACCAAAGAAACCACAGCAGACACCCAGGCTTTCTGTATCTGGCTCATCAGTTCTGTGTATGCTTTGCTGTCTGGATGCACAATGCCTTGCCTAACACATCCTTGCTCATGATAGAGCTCTTGGGTTCTACCTCAGTACAAACCAAATAGGAGACACTTGTTTTACTCAGAAACCATTATTCTCAACAGTATGGCACTAAAGGCATATCACTTTTGGCAATATGCAAGAGCAGTATCTCAAAATCCCAGAGCACACGCAGCTGACAGTGCCCAGACCATCTCATGGAGCAGCCAGTGAAATCAGGAGAGAATTTTTTAAAGTAAAGTGGGGAAGAGGGGATTTTAAATCTGTGCTTTGGTTCTGAATTTGACTTAAATCTTTTTAGGTCTCTTCTCTACTCCTTCATCTGTAAAATGGGATCAATAATACCTCCCCAGATGTGCAGCAGTGCTCCCAGTCTTAATTGATGTCTGTGAAGCATTTTGAGAACCATGAGTGAAAGAAACCACTACCAAGCCCTCAGGCCTTACTCTAATACCAACAAATAAGCAGAGTAGTTTACAATGCCTTTCAGTGCCACAATAACTAGGAAATGAGAAAAGGCTAAAGTGTAGATGAATCCAGTGCTGCCTTGCTGCAGTCTAAATATAAATGGTAGGAACAGATTTTAGAGATTTTCCTCCAGGGAATTCTGTTTTCAATAATGCAGTAAAACTTCTAGCTCTGTGGATTTAAAGAGATGCCCTTGCTGACACCTCAGGTATTAAAACCTATCACGAATTTGGGAGAATGTGTCTTGGAGCTGAAATCACATGGAAATTAATTAAGAAATTACTCACTGGGACCTCGGAGATTTAAAGAGCCAGGTGCTACCCAGTCACCCCTTCCCAACGACTGAACTCAGCCTAGTAGCGTACCAGCACACGGTATTCCACCTTGCACAGGACAAAAAGCCGCCAGGCATGTCCAAGGCTCTATCCTGCCGATGCAAAGCTCTGTGTCCCTGCGGGCGCCGTTCGAGGAGGCAGGAGCAGCGGCGGGGCTCGCCCGGAGCAGCGCACGGGCAGAGCGCTCCGGGCCGCGCTGCGCCAGCGGAGCCGCCGCTGCAGGCGAGGAGCGAGCGAGCGCGGGGCGCGGGCACATGCGGGACCCGGCAGCGGGCAGGTGTCAGCCGGGGCAGGTGTGGAAGGGCTTGGGAAGCGCGTATCCCCCGCTCCCGCTCCCCGCGCTGGGCACCGAGCTGCCCGCTGGACCCGGGGAACGAGACCCAGCGCACAGATAAATCATAAAGCGCTCCACGAGCGGTCCCGCAGCCCTCCCCACGCAGCCATTTGCCTTTGTTGCAGCCCCGCGCCCGCAAGGTGCGGCGGGGCCGGGGCTGAGGATGAAGAAGGAGCTCGCTCCCCCGCCGCTCTCCCCTCACAGCAGGGCGGTGGGGACACGTCCTGCGGGACCGGCTGCCGAGAGGGACCCGCCCGCCCGCCGCCCGCACCTGCCTACCTGCGGAGCCCGCCCGGGACGCGTCGCCCGCCGCCTTTGTTGTGCATGCCCGCCCCGGCAGCGCCGAGCCGCGGGTCGGCTCCGGCCCGGCCCCTCGGCGCCCGCCGCTCGCAGGCCCGGCTTAGCCCGTCGCCACGGCAACGGCGGGCGCGGCTCGGGCGAGGCACCGGCCCCAGCGCCCCGCCCCGAGAGGGCTGCGGGGACAGAGCGGGCGGTCCTGAGGGGACCGAGCGGGGCTGAGGGGAGAGAGCGGGGCGGCCCCGCGGGCCGGAGCGGGCGGTGCTGAGGAGTCAGGGCAGGGGGTCGGTCCCCGCGGGGCAGGAGCAGACGGCCCTGCAGCCTCGGCTTTAGGGCGCTCGTCTCTCAGCGCCCGCGCTTCTCCCCAGCCCTGCGCCCCTCCTTCCCCAGAGTGCCGGGCCGTTCCGAGAGGGGCTTAGATTAGCCCTCGGCTTCCTCTTACGGTGCTTGGGATCCCTCATTTTCCATATCCGGTAGCTTTTCTTTAGACTGGCCACCTCGGGAGTCCCTATCTCCGGTCACAGATCGCACGTTCTTTTGTCCTACAGCGAGCACGGCTCTGGTGACTCTCCTATCTTCCTGCATCAGCCGCCACAGGCTCTACACGTGACGGGCAGTCTCTCTGGAAAGAGGAGCTGCTGTGAGAATAAAGCCAAGGCAGCGGTAACGCCTCCGTTTATCCCTGTTCCTGGGCATAGGAACTAATTGTATCTCGCATTTACTTTACCATTCATTTTAGGGATAACCATAACAGCTTGAACCTCTTCCTTTTTCAGTCAGTAAGAACTTGACAAATTAATAGTTATGTTGATTGTTTCTAGAATTAAGTACCGCAGTTCACTGGCTCTGTCATGTAATGCTAGATTGAGCTGCGTCTTGTTACAACACTTGTACGTGTGTGCGTGTGTTCATCTCGCTCTGAACAGGCAGGTTCTGGTGAGACATGTTAAAAGGAGGGTCCCTGATCAGAATTGCTCACATTCATGAGGTTTGTTAAGTGATCCAGCCTAAGTAAAGGCATTGTTTCTGTTTTGAGGACATTAATTAGAGAAGAACTAAATTCTGCAGAGAAAAGTTGATTGTGGAGAGAAATAAATGGTATAGCAACCCTGAACTCTTTCTGTGTGTTCAACACCTGATTATACAAATTTTTTTTTTTCTTTCTGGGGTCTCTCAAACTCCTATTTAACCTTAGTAGAAAGGGATTTCAGTGGCACCGGGCTCACGGCATCCTCCACTGAAGGCTCTTAAATTACAAATAAAACCTCTTCAGTAAGCCTCATGTGACAGAGGAAAAGACAGAGACAGAATGTGCTCAAGGTTACAGAGACGTTCTCTGGCACAACTGGGAAAAACTTCCAGAGCTGTGGTGTCCTGCCCTTGGTCTTCATCTGCCAGACTTTGCCATTCTGTCCCAAGAAGGTACCTGGGGTACCCAGCCCTGCCTTCAGGGAGAGCAGGGGAGAGGGGACAGGAGACAGCTGTCCTTTAGTTCTCCTTGGTCAATCTGGGCCCATATATTGCTCATGTCAGTAAACAATATCCTTCTTAAAGGGTTTTTCACTGGACACAAGGACACTTGGAGGATGACCTGGTGTTATTGTGCTGTAAAGAAGGATGATAAGGAGAACTTGGAGACCAATTGTGACTGTCTTTGCAGCTCCCCCTGCAATGAGCTGCTTCCTTTTCTGTTGCATGCTAATTTATAAATAGACCAGATTCCGCTACTCAGAGAAAGCTTTGTCGCTCCTTTTACTCAATGTATGTGATATTCTGCAGTGGAGAGCAGATGTTTATACCAGATTCTGCTCCCATGGAAATGGGCAGTAGAAGACTCAGAGGCGAGGGGTGAAATAGCATCAGGGTTATCTCTTGTCCTCAGCTCAGAGCTCCTGTTACAGCCAGCCTGAAAGGCCAGAAGATGCCCTTGGATTTAGCAGCACAGTCTCGAGTGTATGTCTGTGTCTCTGCTGGAGATGGACATCCTGTTGTTTGCAGAGTCCAGTACAGCTAAAGCTAAAAAAAACCATCTGTCTGCATAAACAGGAATTTTCCTCAATTGCAGGAGCTAGCAGAGAACACTACTTTGTCTCTGTCTCTGAAAGGGCTAAGTAATATTTTATTTGTTTTGTTCTTTTTGCTGCCTTCTTCCAGCTCTATGACTTTGGTGGCGCCTCTGGCAGAACAGTTGCCATTGTTCCCATTTTATCCATATCCACTAGAGGATTTTGTTTTCCAGATTGTTTGCTGCTGCTGAAGCCATAGCAATAATGCTCTGGTATAGCTTTACTTAAGGGAGGGAAGAAACAAAACCACATGACAAATTGGTCCAATTTATCACAGCAACAGAAACCTGCAATTCAGCTCAATCACCCCCACAGGCCAGCTTAGACAGCATCAATATTTAATGACCTGAGCGCCACTGCCTTCACAGGTTGGGCTGCACCTCCGCCCTTGCCTTGTCACATGTAACCCCCAGGAATGTCACCCCACCAGTGTGGAGAGCATCCCTAGAATTCCTCTGGGTGAGCAGGGTCTGTCTTCAGCCTGCCAAGTCAAGCCTGCTTGCTAGCCAAAGGGGCACAGTCCAGACCTGCTGGGTATGGCTAAACTCTACCCCTTTTTCCTATCTGGCTGAACAACCATGCCATAGGTTTATGCCCAAGTAACATCTTCTGGCTTTCTGGGCATGCCTGTGGTCTGTGGCAAACAGTAAAGCAGGAGTAGGACTGCACCATCACAGCTCATGGCCTCTCCTACAGTCTTTTTTTGGGTAATTTTTGGGTCTGGTTTAAACCAGACAGGACTGTTCACTTGGTAGCAAGCTGGAGGTGGCTTTTGTTCAGCTGTCTATATCTGCTCTCATTATTAAGGCAAGAGTATTTTATTCCAGAAGGAGTTGCAATGAAATAAAATGCCAGCAACATGTCCTGCAGTGGTGCAGGAAAACTTGAAAAGAGGAGGAATCAAACTACGACAAATCCCTCCCACTGTGAGCCAAGCAGGGCATCAGAGGAGGTTGGGAATCTCTTCTACTGAGCCCAGGCTCTGAAATGACCCTGAACAGTAACTGGCATCCAGGAACATCTCCCAGCTCCATTCCAGCAAGTGGCCCCATTCTGGCTTGCTCTGCTTGGGACAGTAAGAGGAACAAGTGACAGGTGATACAGCTATACACAGCCATAGGCATGTTCCCTCATGGCTCTCTTGCCTCAGTTTCCCTGGTCTGTAAAATGGATGTGACCACGATCTCCTGGTGACAAGCACAAAATAAAAAAAAAACAGTTTTATCAGGGCTGTGTTGGGGCAGAGGAATTTGTGCTGCTGGACCAACAACTTGAATTCCTCACAAAACAGCATCTTCCACTAGGTTCTCTGTTGACTTGAAAACCCCCATGATTTAGCAAATTGCATATTCCAAAGGGAGAGTTTGTTATGCATTCCACTGGCAGCAAGTGACAGAGGCCATTACAATAAATGACATTTTGGGAAGATAGCTCTCTAATTCACTTGGTATTTAACACTGACCATGGGGGCTCAGCTCTTTATGTGAGATACATTCTGCAAAGCCCTTTTGTGACCATCTCCCTGCACTAAAGAACTGTTACAATAAGGATGATTAGGAATAAATGTAAGAGCAGAGGTTTCTGTATCAAAATAGTTTGGGCCAGAAGCTGCATGGCCGAGGGGATGATGATCTGCACAGAGGACTCAGGTATTTAGAAGGGAAAAGTTGGCTTGCTGCAGTTCATCCAGAGATGCTGGCCCATTTCCAGTGCCAGAGTTGGCTGCTGGGGGCTATCTTCCATCCCCTGGAGCACTTGGTGACTGCATCCAGACCCTCTGCTTTTGTAGTTGTAGGGCACCTGTCTTGTTATGGGCATGGCTCAAGACTAACACAGCAGAGCTGTGCAGAATAATATGTAGCTCAACAGACATCTGCAAGTGCCCTAGAAAATACTTAATGGATTGTTCCATCAGTTAACCATCCAAGAAAGGAATTGTGAGCCAATTCAGTGCATTCCAAATCACAGTTCTGGAAAAAAAAAAAAGTTAACATAGAGTACAGCTCTTCCTCCTGGCAGCCATCCAGTTATTAATTTCCATGTATCAGCTGCATCTGAATGGGCTTGGTCTTCCGCCCACTGTTTCTATTTATTTGTTTTCCATTCATCTCCACAAAAATTAAAACTCAAAGCCTTCCAGAGAGAATGGAAAACAAACATGCTGAACCAATACTGCTGCCCACATACAACCAACACAAACCCCTGCACTTTTTCCTCCTTTGCAGAGACTAAGTTTTAAGACTCTGGCCTTTCACCTGAAAAATAGCACAGGTAGATATGGCATTATCACAGTCTCAAATTCTTGTTTGAGACACATCAGTAGGCAGCATCCTTCAGCTCTTGGCTGTGGATGTTCCAGGTCACAGTGACTGCAGAGACCTAGTGCTGGAGATCTTTGGATGAAGCAACTTCATCATGAAGCATGGTTCAAGAAGACAGAGCTGATGATGGTCACATTGTCTGAGAGTTTATAGGTCAGGATAAAAGGGAGGGCAGAGCTGGTGACATTATAGTAGAGGTCTGCTTCAGACTGCCTGAACAGGAAGATGGAGCTGATAACATCCTCTACAGACAGATAGGAACAGCCTCACATTCACAAGTCCTGGTCTTCATGGGGGACTTCAACCACCCCAATACCTCTTAGAGGAACAATACAGAGGGCACAGGCAATCCAGGAGGTTCCCAGAATGCACTGCTGATTACTTCCTTCTCCAAAACACAGAGGAACCAACAAGGAGACCTTGTCCTCATCTACAAGGAGGGGGTGGTGGGGAATGCGAAGCCCAAGGGCAGCCTTGGCTGCAGAAACCATGGAATCTGAGGGTGGCAAGGAGGCTGCACAGCAAGCTCATTACCCTGGACTTAAGGAGAGCAGACTGGCTTCTTCAGGGTCCTGCTTGGTGGAGTAGCCTGGGATAAAGTCCTGGAGGGCCCAGAAAAGCTAGTTAATACTCAAGAATTACCTTCTCCAAGCTCAGGAGCAATGCATCCTAACAAAAAGGAAGTCGGGCAAAACCACCAGGAAGCCTTCATGGATAAGCAAAGAGCTCCTGGACAAACTCAAACAAAAGGAAACCTACAGAGGGTGGAAGTGAGGGCAGGCAGTCTAGGAGGAATCCAGAGAAAGCATCCAGCCTTCCTCGCATTTGCATGATTTCCTATTGGTGTCTTGGTTTGTTTTGGACACATCTTTATTTCAAAGCACATCACCTGATAAACGTTTTGCTATAAAATCCCAGGCTTTTACAATGGCCAGATTCTTTATGCATCCCAGTGTGAATAAGAACTGAAAAGCCAAAGGTTATTTTGGCTAAAACTTATTTTTACTTAAAACTTACTTAACCTTACTTTTAAAGTGATACAAATTACAAAATACCTTCATTAACAATTACAGTATTTAAATCCTATTTGCAACAGCACAATCAATAGGACCCAACTCTTGATGTTCAGGAAGGGATTATTACTACATAAAATGCACTAAAATAAGCCCTTGGTCTTTTTCAGTCTTTTTCAAATATTCTCCTTCCTTAAAAACATACACAAGTGACTGCATAGTGCTAGTTATGAGTCTAGTTGAATATTAAATTCTTCTGATTGTTACCTAAAAGGATTTCCTTCCTCCAATAAAGAGAGTTTCCAGTTCTGTGTTTATAGCATCGTCAGGAATGACATCGTCCTCCATAAACTCATCTCCAAGCTTCTTCCACCATGGCCAACGAGTGTATTTTAGCATAGTGTTGTGGGCTTGTCTTGCCTTGGTAGCTACAGGGATTGATCGACTCATAAAGGCACCAAAATCTTTTTCTGTAGTTTCTGATAAACCTGGAGCATCTGCAAGAACAAGGAAAAGAGTTTTCTATATTTTGTTTGTAGTTTTATAAATATTAAAAAAAAAAAAGGAACACTACCCTCCCACTTCCCACTGTCCTAGGCCACTCCTTTCCCTGTGCTGGCATTGCAATTTTATGACTACCTGATAAATCATAAATCTGATTGGAGAGGTAATCCAAATAAATGATAATCTGAAAAAATAAATACATAACGGTGTAGAAAGAAGAAAGGGGAAAGATGGACTACTTCTTTCAGGTGCAGTGGTGGTATCCACCAAAATGATTTCTTGCAGAAGTTTAACCTCAGAGGATCTCCTGGTCACTACTGTGGATCAGTGCTCCTGGTGCAGGGTGACATCAGCTTGGTGTTTCCACTGCTCTGGTGCAGCAGCCTTGTGGTTTCCCTGCTTGGGGCACCCCGCTCAGTGTAAGTGTGTTGCTGATTTGCCTGCTTAGGCAGTGATGAGCTGCAGTGACACAGCACATGACAGACTAATGGAATTCAGTAACTTGCTGAATTCTGCCCAGCTTGGGTGCTCTCTGGTGGCTGCAGCTTGCTACTCTTGCTTTTTCATGCAGCCACTTGTCTGGAATTAAGATAGCACAGTAGAGAATTCTGTTTCAATTAAAGCCAGGCCAGAGAAACTGAAAACATGGAAATCACAGCTCAAAAATTTCCTCCTTAATCTGGAAGGGGTGAGAGTGTTTTAACCAGCAGCTTACTCACAACAGGAGAAAATAAACCAAAGCAAAACAAATGTGGGTGAATAGATTGTATGAGACCCCCTTTTTAAGAAATTCTAATACCTGTTACAGGGCTATTGCTTTTCTTGTGAACATATCAGACAGAGACTTTCAGCAGAAGAATAAGATGCTCCTTGAAAAACAAGTGTTTATCTTTAACCTACAGCAACACTTGGATAACAAAGCCTGGATCTCAAGATAAGGCATACAGCAAAGGAAGAAAGATATTTCAGTTTTGAAATAAGCCTTTACCACTGCTCACTCTAATTTTCTCTCTAAATTAGTTTAATCCAAATGGTAATCAAAGCCATGAGCAGAGCAGTCACATACTCATTAGCAGTTCCACATCGGTGTTGACCTGAGCCAGCAAAGCCTCTCTCCGCTGCGCTGCCCTCTGATCCAGCCTGTTCCTCAGCAGGAACTGTGCCAGCTTTGCCTGAGCCTGCATATGCAATTCTTTACTCATTTCTTCTGACATTTGGGAAGCCTGGAGGAAAGTAAGTTTGTTACCATTAGGAGCTGGTTATTTTAAAACTTCTGGGGGCAGAATAATCCCTAAACAAGGAATGCAAATGCTGTTCCTAATTGTTAACTTTGTAATTTTGCTTCCTCTGCAACTCTTTTCAATATTATCCATCATCATGTACATAAATTTTCCAATTACAGTTTGCTTTGACACTTTTTATTAGATTAATGGTTAAAATCCCCAATATCCTAGTGCCTTGCTGTCAAACAAGCAGGGTTAATACATACATACCTCAAATGGATTATCTTGATCATAATTTATGAAGCTGAATATATTTCATCCCTACAGTATTTTATGTTGCATCATTAATGCAAATTATGAAATGACTAAGAAACAGACCGGATGCAATTTGATGTAGTCATCCACCTTCTGCTGCAAAGCTAGTCTCTGCTCATCAGTCAGTCCCCTGGGTTCTTTCCAAGGAGCGAGAGGTCTCCTCCTTCTTCGTTTCTCCAGGAAATTACAAGCCTTTGTAAGGAACATATGAGAACATGACAATCACAAAGAGGAAGTTTATCTTCCCACTTTGTTTGTAAACAATCAGTGAAAGTGTTTCAGTACTGCATCTGTTAAAGTCTAAATGCAGCAAGGATGTTGAAAAGACAACATACAAGGTCAGCATGAATACTAAATAGTAACAACACTCATAATAAGTTAGTGACTCATCTGTAGTATGGTGACATTCCAATCCTGGGTTTCACAGAAGCAGGTTTTATATTTTAGTTGCAAGACTGTATTAGGCTTTGTAGCCTATACAAGGTTTAACCCTTTAAAGCAACTTGAGGCTCTAGACTATCACCCCCAGGTAATTTTTTAATAAATTTATGGCTACATTGAAAGTAAGAGAATACACAGAGTTTTATGAGGCTTCACAATAATCCACTCAGTCCTATCTACTGTTAGAACAAAGTATAAATACTCACTGCTCTTTGAATAATAACAGCTGCCTTATACTCCTTAAGAGATTGTTTCTGCTGATGAAAAATTCTTCTTGCTCTATACCCTCGCCAGAATCTCTGTATAGTTAATGCTGATTTCTCCTCCATTTCCTGCATGTATTTATTCACCTGACCTACAAAGGTAACAAAACTCCAGAGTCAGGAGACTGCAGGTTAGGTTCTCTTAACAATTTACATTGTTAATCCTCAAATTAGAGAGTACCAAAAAAACCTGATCACTCTCAGTTAAAGGACCCTCTTTCCCCAAGGTGTCCAGCTGTGGGTGAAGTCTTGCAGATCATGGCTGCAATGGAGCTTTGTAACACAAGGAAAATGTCTCTCCCTTTTCCTGCACCATTTTGAAGGCACCAGATCTTGATCAGTAGTTACTGAGCCCTGGGGGAATTAGCACATTCTCTTTCAGATAATTGGGTCAGGAGAATGGACAGTAAGACTACAGTGAAAATAGACATGCAAGATTGGGAAATAGATTTGGGGAAATTGTTCCTAAGGACACCCAGACACTTTAATCTTCTGCTATAGTTTAATATGAATCCTACCGGCATGGACAACTTCCAGTAAGGTCAGCTGTCGTTCATGGAAGAGTCTCATGGCCCTCTGTCTCTGAAGTTGCATTTGCAGTTTCAGAGCTTCATCTTCATTCTGTTTTGTTAAACGCTGCAGCTCCTGTTCCCGTTTAGCTCTGCAATACACAAATACATTAACAATTATCTAAAGTTGTACATTTCTTTAAAGTAGTGCTCCTTTTCTTTGTGTTAAGTGGTCCAGCATTGAGAAAGAAAATCCACAAAACAATCTGCTATGTCAGCTGTTGGCTGCAGAATGACACCAAGCAATGAGAAGTGTTCACAAATTAACAAATTACCACACTATCTATAGCCACAAAAAACTCTGAACCACTCCATGAAATCAAAGTATAAATCTTTACTTAGGATATAAGTTCTAAGGACTCTGAAGGGAATGCTGCCTCATGGGAAACATTCACAGCCAGAATGAACTGGAACAACAATTTTCACTCCATCATCTGCTCAAGAGGTAAAGCAACATTAGCCATCTGCTCCAGTATCCACCTTTTCCAGTTAATCCATCAGCATGCATGGCACCTGCTTCCACAAAAAATACAGTAATTTTTGTACTGACTGCAAGAGTAGATCAGAATGTTGGCCGCCAAGCCTCATTTCTTAATTTTGGAGAGATTTTTTTTCTTCAGGAAATACAGATTGACACATTTGGTCCATGAACTTTGTTAGAGAACACTAGGAAAGAATTTTCTTGCAAGTTCTTCCTGATCTGTTCTATATTTGATATTAGGATGTTGCCCTGCTGTGCACTGAAAAACCTGCAGCAGAAGTTTCACAGATAAGACGGCTGAAAACTCTCCAACTGGCCCTGGAGTATTTAAGCTAATAACAACATGTACATCAATGAAATACACAGCAACATATCAATATAGAGACTAACCTAAAATACTTAATATATTGATGTGTTGATACTAATAATTACTGAGATAACTTGGCTGTAGTCTCAGTGAAGTATGAGGAGGTGTGAACTAAAGCTCCCTGTCCCTTCACTGCCCCTTCTCATCCCCATGGACCCAACCTGGTTAGCAGCTTAAGACCTGAGAATGCACAACTTTACCCCACAACAAGGTACCAGTGGGACTTCTCTGCTCCTATTGCAGCAAAATCACTTCCCCACTCAGGATCTGAGTACCCTCACTGGGCCCAAAGCCCAGAGTTCTGCTCTCCTCTAGCACTTTTCTGGGGACAATGAAAGATGTGTTTTAAGCACTGGGAAAGAAAACCAACCAATGGACAGAGCTGAAGTATAAGGGATGCCAGAGGAGGAAAATGTCCACAGACTAGATCTAATGTCCAGCTAATTCTGCTATTGCTGCATGGCACATACCTTTAGACTCACAGTACTAATGAGCTATTTGTGTTTCCCATCAATAGTATAAATTGAGTTATAATTTTTCCATCAACCATACCTTCTCTTTAGTCTCTAAAACTGGTTTGGGAGAGACTGGGATGGAAACTGTGGTGTAAAAGAGATGCTCTGGATTTAAAGATCTGAGCTCAGCAGATAAAAAAGCCTCCACCACAATCTGACAGACCATAATCCTTTTACATCTGTAATGCAGACTTGAGGTGTGCCTACACACCTACCTACAGAGAAACATCATGATACATTATATCAGAATGGTTTCAAGGAGACTAAAAGTTTTCAGCCCACACATTTCTACAAATTAGAGCTGTAAATTTTTACATTTTTAATTTAGGTAATTAATATTTTAAATCCAAATATTATATTTCTAAGACAAATGAAGTCACAGGATCAAACAAGACTTTTGTTCACATTTTCTTGATAAAACTTATAATATTTTGCCCATCAATTTTTATCAGCTTCACTAAGTTGAAAACTACAAAAACGCTTCATGAACTTCTCAGATGCATATCTGTGTAACCAAGAGTGTCTGTCAGGTATTTAAATGATTCTTTAATACTGATCCTTTCCTATGTAGTCTGCAAAACACATTCCTCCTCTGTTTCTCCTAATGATAAGATATATTTGCTTGCACAAGACCACACTGTGACAGGGAACTGTCTCTGAACTAAAGTAAAACATACTTGAAGATCCAAGCTTCCTTCTGCAGTTCATGGCACACAGCAGCCTCCCTCTGGTCATCTCTTTAGAAATGTAAAATGGTTTCATTTTTGATGCATTATTAATAAAAATTACTGCCATTTAAAATGTCCTACAATTAGCTATGTAAGAGTGAGCTAGCTTCAAGAAGAGACTACAGGCTTTAACATTCACTGAGGAGATATTTCTGAAACCACAGTTTCAAAAGTTTATAACTTGCAGAGTTTAAGATCTTCCTCTGCAGCTGCAGGTGATCAATCTGGAGTTTCAATTTCGGCACTATTTAACCACACATGTTCTAAAATAAATCTGTGACCATATCCAGAACCTGACTGTTAAAAATTAAAAAGTCTTCTTAAAAGCTCTTCTAAAGTTATGTTTACAGCATTCCAAACACTATTTTTCAGTGTAATATTTTGAGGTAGACAGAAGAAAACCAACACTGGCACTGTAAAGTTACTGTATTTGCTCAGTACACTGGGAGTGGGTGAGCCATGAACAAACACAGCTGTAAGGACATTTATAAGTTTCCATTCCTCTCAATATTAAACAAAAGTGTTCAAAAGTCCATTTAAATTACTTCAGAGCTACTTAAAAGGCACACACTAATGCTTACAATATTGAAAATATGACCTAGGGAGTCAAGCAGCTTGGTGATTCTTGATAGTCTCATCGTCCTTTCCTGCTGCTTTTCCATCTTCACCCATCATCCAAATTTTCTGGGCTATAAGTTTAGCTTGCAGGCTTGCAAGGTGCCTTATGAGGGAAGGAATATTGGCTTCAAGTGCATGGTGGAGTAAAAAGTAATTACAAGAATGTCACTGCAAATCTTTCAGAATTTAAAAATTACAACTTAGATAGTCCAATATCCTCTTAAGGCCAATCTAGATAATAAAGCATAGTTGTTTGCTTTGTATTACTTTGGTCACAATGCAATGTGATTTGACAGTGATTGATAAGATCTACTTTTGACACAGTAACGATCTATGTGCAAAAAAAGTTTGAAAAGTCTTGCTATGGAGTCTACACTTGATTTTAATCCCTTAACCTATGTTAAATTGAAACTAAATTTCTCAAAACAGTTAGCCTAACACATGCTAACATTACTGCTGCAATCTAATTCAAGTGAGACAAGCATTATTTACATAGCTTCCTTCTCTGCTGCTCCAAGGCAGAGGATACTATTTCTAGGTCACTGAAGTAACTCTACTTCTGAGAGACAAAGATTTAAAAATTAATGAAGAACAAGGTCTTGCAAGCACTACACTGGCACTACGGGCCTTGGTTTCTGTAGCATTCTGGCATGTGGAAGCTCCACTACAGCTCCAATGTAATTTACAGAGCAATTTTGTGTCAACTTAACTATTAACCAGTTATCTGTTCTACCACCAGTACAGTGCTATTAGTGGAGTCCCATGCCACACATTTTTATGAATATGAAAGCACCACAGAAGTAAGTTTTTTTCATGGAGAAGTCTGGCAGCTGGGAAAGAAACAGTTGAAGCTTTTGGCACCAGAAGTGGCAGTTTGGTACTGCTGATAAAACACATTGTTTGGATGTTTCTACTAAAAAAAAAATCTGTACGGAAAAGATTCACATAGGCATTACATTACCTTTATGTTTGAGAAGTAACAGCTGACTGGAAAAAGGCATCTTCAAGATGAAGGAACACTTGGTCAACCCAAACTTAGGGCCTGGGACATGGGAACAAATTCTCAGGGAAGCTATATCCAGGAAGGACAGGAAAGTGAATGGGAATAGCCAGCATAGATTTATCACAGGCAAACCACATTTGATCAGCTTGATTGCATTCTGTGATGACTGGCTCTGTGGATGAGGGGAAAGCAGTAGATGTCATTTTCCTTGACTTTAGCAAGGCTGTCATCACAGTCTCCCATGCAGGGCAGGGCTGACACACAGAGAAACCTCCACAAACACAGAAAATGGTTCAATGAAAACCACATGAAGTTCAAATGGGAAATTCTAGAGCTGGTACTAAATACCAGCACAGGCTGGGCACCAATTACCTGGACAGCAACTCAAATGAAAAGAGGGGACAGGCTGGACATGAGCCAGTAGCAGCCCTTGCAGGAAGAAAGGCTACAGCTTAGTTGGAAGATTATTTGGCTTTACTTGGCACACCTGGAGTATTGGTCACACTCTACTGGGACCCCCAATGGAGGAGCAAGGCTGAAAAATGGAGGGATAGAGACCATACAAACAGAGAGACAATTAGGACCATGGAATGTAGGATATATAAGGACAGGCAAGGTGTGTTTAGCCTAAAGGAAGGCAAAAATCTGTCTCTCACTACCTAAAGAAGTGTTAGAGAGCAGATACAGCCAGACTCATGGGGGTGCTCAGAAAAAGGACAAGAGGCAGTGATAAAGAGTGCAACAAGAAAATTCCCACTGCCTGTAGTGGAAGAATTCACAAGGTGACTCATCCAGCACAAGGAAAGGGATCAAGTGAGATCCTAGGATCTCCATCCTTGAAGACCTCTAAAACTGGATGCGGCCCTGAGCATCCAGATCCCATTTTGAGGTGGTGCCTACTTCAAACAGGACACTGAATGAGATAACCGGAATTTTTCCTCTTCCTTTGTGACTTGAGAAAACCCAGCCCAACTCAAACCTTTGTTTGAGAATACTAGATCGTATTCTTTACTGTTTTTCACAAAGTCATACTGTTTACCTGAAGCTTCTCTGTAAAGTGACCACTGCTTGGGGTAGCTTTTTCAGCCTTTTCCTTGTCTGAAATCCCCGCCACGCTGCCTGGATTATACAAGCTGCTTCATGCTGCTTCTGAAATTAATAAAACAGTTGGTAGAATATTTTCTATGCATATAAAAGCACTTTATTACTGCTTGCATAACTGGACATACTGCTTACATAACTGGACAATCTCAGCATTTGGCCAAACCCCATCAGTTTTCAAATGCATCAAATTGGAGAATTTAAGGTCCTACAAAATAATTATTATCATGAACTCCACACTTGCCCCAAAAACAGTTAATCTGATCACCTGTATTGATGCTGTCTGTGATAAACAAATCTACAGCACAAATATATATATATATATATATAAAATCAATACGAGAAATTTGTATTTAAAACACCTGAAGCACTTGGAATTTCAAATGGTGATTCAAATGCCTACACTAGAGAGGACAGAAAGACAAGTTTGGAGAAAGAGCAGCAGGAAAATGTTACATTTCCAGTATGAATTGCAAACACGAAAAAAACATCTATTCTATTCTTAAATTGATTATTAAAAATCCCACAAACGAACTGAATCACAAGACACCCTGCTCTGTTGAAGATGAAAGCAGGTCTCTGCAAACATAACTGATTTTTATTGAAGCATTGTCTCTGAGAAACCTGCATGTAAATTTTTTTGTAAAATGTTCATGAAACACACATTGTCTCTTTCATTGGGAACACAGTCCAGGTAGTGTTCTTACTGCACATTTTCTGCATGTGACTTAGTTCTATGTAAATGCTGCCTAGAATTCAGAGATCTAAATTTGTAACACTGATGTGAGAAAAACAAATGCAGTTATTTTAATCTGATAGTTAGCAAAAAAATTAATTTTCCCTCTATGGTTATATTGACATCTATGATGAATCTGCACAGAAAGTCAATCTCTTGAGCCACAGTCCCATATTTTAATGACTGAACAATTTATTGATGTTTTAAAAAAACACAATAAAATAATTTTAAAAGGTAATTAAAACATTAACATAGTGAAATAATAACACAGGTTTTGAAAAGCATCTACAAAGTGATACAGTGAATCCCTTCACATATCCCATACACAAATCACATGTAAATAGGATTTCACATCTGAAAGTCACATTAAACTTAATCACCTGTATTTCCCCTTTTCCACTGGATTGTTCCAAATACAGCAGGTCCAAGAGTTGATTGACCTTCCTGTCAAATCCTTTGCCAGTCCACTGTTTACTTAAAAGCCCTTTTAATCCTAAGAGAAAGAGAAAAAGCTAATCCAGTAATGTGAAATTTTCCTTTCAGGCTTTCGAAGTAAAACTCTTCAAATCAACATATCAAATTTGATTCTATGTGCAAAGAAGTGTGAGAGCTGAAGACCATCAGCCATCTTTGAGTGTCAATGCATAATCTTATCAAAGAATGTCTGGTGCTCCAACTATTACAAAGAAGTATTATCCAGTGATTTTGTATGTCCGAGTCAGCATTGTGTTTCTATCACTGACAATCAAATTGCCAATGTACTTTCAGTGTCCTATCAGTAAGTCATTGTAAGGTGCTAAAAAGAATTCAAAGAACCATTCAAGTGCTGGGTGTTGCTAACACTCTTTTCATATTTTTTGTAATAAAATTAATTTCTATCCAACTGGAATTGTTTGATGCCGTACCTGCACAGCATCATTTAACTGTGAGTACATGTGCATTCAATCAATGAGACAGAAAAGCTTTATGGGTTTGCAGTAGCTAAAAAGCACCCCCCTACACACACACTCCTTATGCAAGTAGATAGTAACATGTGCTAAAATGTTTGTATCAGACAAATCCCAGAGCCTAAGGGCTCTGCAGGAAGTTGGAGGGAAGAGGAAGGAGGGCAGGAAGCATGTGTGTGTTTGCCTCCTGAAGAACTGCAGATTCAAGTAACTTTTCCATCTTCAAATCATTGTCCATGAACATATTCATACACCGGGCAACTCCAACACAACACACACATGTACTTACAGGATCTGGAGCACACAAAAATGGCACCTCTGTGGTACCATGTGCATCATTTTAGAAAAACAGTGACAGTTAAACACTTCAGGGGAGAGACAGGCAGGACTACAAATGGGTGCCCCAAGGCTGCCTGAGCCCTGCAAAAGCAGGGAGCCAGGCTACACAGGAGAGCTCCCTCACACAAGCGCTGTGGGTCTGACACAACCACTTGCCAGTACAGACTACACCACCATATGCTCTTTTTGCCTACTGACAGGGAGTACTTCCAGTATGCCTCACAGATGTGTCAACCCATGCAGGACAAAAGGCCAGGCTCTCCAGGAAACCTGACACAGGGACTGTGCTGGTCCTGGAGATGCCCTCAACTCCAGCAGGCTGCCTTCACTGGCAAAGCTCACACCAAAGCACCTCACACTGCCAACAGATCTGAGCCACTGTGAAGCCAAGGGACTTCAGTGAGATGGCCAGATGGTGGAAATGCTGTAATGCTTTCTCTGTTGCTTTTATTCCTCAAAGTGTCTAAAGTATTCCAAAGGCTGAATTAAAACTAACAGAAGTATTCTAACTTTAAAAAAACAAACAAACCAACCACACCTTTTTTTTTTTTTTCTTAGTGGAAAGAGGAAACATGTACAGGAGAGACATGAAGAGTTTCTAAATGACTGTGGCATACTGTGATTCTAGAGCAAAATAAAGCATCCTTTGATAGAGATCTACAGAACTTCAAACAAGCCAGCATTCTACAGCTGGGATGATCAGACCATCAAGGCAGCTTCCCAAGAATCCACAATGTGATACCAGCCTTAAAACACTATACTTACAAGGTATAGTGTTTTCCACAATACCAGGAATCCCTCTTCTCAGTTCTGTACACAAAAGGGTGGCAAAGCTTTTCATCAGGTCCAGAAATTTATTTGGCTGATACTGTATAATAACTAGTCAGCACAAGCGCAAAAAATGGGAATTGGACATTTTGCTTTGCATTTCTTCTTTTTACTGTCTTTGTCCTCAAAGGACTGAGGCTGCTCACAAGTAATTTTGAGCCACAATAACATCCAGAACATAAAAGACATGGCAAACATTATGCCTGTTCCTTAGTCTCCATGGGCATGATAGAGTACAACGGGATTTCCTGGAGCTTCCTGCTATGCTAGAGACAGAAACATTAAATGGGACACCTCATTAAGGAATTAATAACATAGAACAAATTATACACATACTCAGCCCTATAATATGAAGATATCAAGACAAAAGGATAAATTAATTTCATGAATTCTTGGAAAGAGTTCATTCCAATTACTTAGCTATCAAGACAGTCAGCTCCTGGATAACTAAACAGCCCCCTATCAGATGAGCAGACCTGCAACAGCCAGGGTCACCAGGTCACTCTAAAACTTTCATGCTCTGGATTAGTGAGCCTCAGCACTATGGTAGATGTGACACAGGGCTCTGTGACTGTGGCAGTACAGGCATCCTGCCACTGGATCCCTCAATAACCAACCTGCACAGGGAAACAGAAAGAAGCAAAAGCCCTTTTGCTTTGGAAGTGACAATCAGCAACTTTAAAAGACAAGCTGCCACATGCAGAGTGCGCAGTACACAGAAGAAAATAAATCAAGGAAACAGAAAGAAGTGCAGTACCTTAAACTACAATGAAAATGAATGGAAGTGAAAAAACGCACAAAGCAACAGGGCAATGCAGTTTCTACCTGTACTAGAGAGTTATTGAACCACAATGGGAAACCTCTGTCTTTTTATTTTCATAGGGAATGTAAGAGAAGGCGCAGTGATCCGTCCCATGCATGTTACAAACCTTTGTAGCGAGCTGTGAATAACTGCACAAGCTGTTTGCAAGATTTTGCCACTAACAACAGCAGTTTTGTGGCAGCACTTCCTACAGCAGGATTGGTGGTAGAGGACAGCTTATAAACAAGTTCATCCAAAACAGAGTGAAGGGTCTCTTCTTCAACTTGAAGCAAGACAGAACTTTAAAAAGAGCAAAGGAAAAAAAAAAAAAGGAGAGTGGGACAAAACAGAAGTGTTTATTGAAAAACATGAGCTTTTTATCAGTGACTTATTTTTATCTATGTCGGGCTATATACAGCAAGCCAACATGCCCAGCTAGCTGGACCAGGAATATGATCCAGACAGTAATACTGTTTTAATCAACCAATTACCACTCCCTCAATTAAATAAGATTCAAACCCCAGCTTTTTAATGTTTTCAATTTCTACTACAAAGAATAGGGGAAAAAAACCCCAAACAATAAAACACAACAATGCTTGTATATCAAAAGATGTTATTTTACCAAGCAGTAATGAACTATCTTTTATATTTATTATTAAGAAAAATAATGATACTAAAACAACCAACCTATTGATCCTCAAAATATTGTGTAACACAGACATCATTATAATTGCTGTTTCAACATCATCTGTTATTAACAACTGCAGGAAGCGATCATTTTGTAGTGCTGCAAAGAAAACCAAAAAGAAGCAAACAAGAAATCATGCAATCAGAACCAGACTTGAAAATACCATAAACCAAATAAGTCATACCAAGTAAAACCGGACACTGCTTCTGGAACAAACTTCCTCATTTATAATTCTTACACTGAAACTTACTGAGATAACTAAACTACTTCAACCTCCAAAAAACATGCCGAATCTTGTTTTTTCTGCCTTTGGACATCCCTCAGGCACTGATGTTGCAAGAGAATGAAAGCTTTAAACCCCTTTATGTTACAATAGTACCCTTTTCTTACAACAACAGTGGAATTAACACTGGGGCAACAATACCCAAAAAAGTTAAGGACCTCAACCTTGACAGTTTGTTACCCCAGATTATCTAATGCAAATCCACTGATGTCATTAAAGCACCATCTTTTTTATCCCAGTGTATCACTGGTTATGTATTCAGTAATTTTTCTGACCATGTGTGTTTTTAGTCACACATCTTATGATACTTAGGTTTTTGTCTAATACTAGAAACAAAATGGAATTCTGCTTTTCAGAATCAGTGTGATTAACATCAGTTTAAATGAAAGCTTATTTTGGTCAGAAATACATAGTGAAGTTTGTTAGATGTTTGTAAAATTTCCTGTCATGGCAAACACTTCAGAAATCTGTTTCCAAATCTATCTACTTATCAATGTACTCTGGTCAAATTCCTGCATATTTTAATCACACAGAGGAAAAGATCCATTGTCCCTTATTGGGGAAAAAAAATCCCAACAACCTGATTTTTAAAAGGTATAGACTTACAAAAAGAAATTACAGGATCACACTTTAAATATTCATCTCTGAAAGACTAGAAGGGGAACTCTTAAGTAGTTCCCTTTAGTGGATATTTACCATTTTAGATACTGCTGTTGAGTTAACTACTAAAAGAGACTGATTTAACACCTACTCCAATTTAGAAGACTAGGTGGAGATTAGCTTAAGAGTGAATTTTGATACTTGTAGGTGCCATAAATAAATGGTCAGGAGTTGTGTGGGTTGTTACTTCCCTTACCACATGCTGCTAGTTGAATATGCCCACCGAACAGCCAGCAGATGGCATCAGTTACTATTTGGAACCAGTGTAAAAAGTCTTGTTTTTCTTTATCCTTAAAAAGAGAGAAGTAGGTAAAAACATGTGTATGTATCTTCATTAAGGATGTCATTGTGATATCATGGGAAGGTTTGTATGCCTCAGGAATCTGGCGACCAGATGCCACCAGATTTCCAAATGAAGTTGGTAAAACTGCAGAAACCAGTAAAAAAAAAACCAAAAAAAACCCCAACCCAACTTGTGAGACCTTTAAGGTCAGAGATCAATTAAGAAGATCTGAAGATACTAAAAAAAAAAAAAAAAAGCATCTATTTGGGGAAAAAAATCACAACAAGGAGATAAATATATTGTTTACTCCTTAAAAATATTTGATAGCATTGGAGGGATAAGACAAATAATAGCCCAGCATCACAGATTTAATGCACTAAGTGGGAAATACATTACTTTAAAGAAGAGGGGGAAAATAAAAAAGGTACAAAGTGGCCAAGGACACAGTCAAAATGGAAAAGTTTCCTGATAACTGGTATGGTGAAGCTTCAGAAGCACCTCCTAGTTGGAAGTGTGGGAGCAAACACCAAACCACTATAAAGCTGAAATTTGATCTGTTTGCCAAACAAACTACATCATGTGCTTGCCTGTGATAGCACTGGACTGGAAAAAAACATAGAATCAATCACAGAATGGTAGAAAAGGACCTAAAGTCCTTCTTGTTCCATCCCCATTGCCATGGACTGGAACATCTTCAGACCAGATTTCTCCAAGCTTCATGGAGCCTGGCCTCCAATGCTTCCACAGATGGAGCATCCACAGCTTCTATAGGCAGTCTGTCCCAGTATTTTACCACCCTGACAGCACAGAATTTCTTCCCAATACTTAATTTAAATCCCTCTCTTTCAGTGTACAGCTATCACCCCTTATCCTGTCACTACATGCCCTTGTAAAAAGTCCCTCTCCATCTTTCTTGTAGCCCCTTTAGGTACTGGGAGGTGATATAAGTTCTCCTCGGAGACTTTTTTTTTCACACTGAACAACCCCATATCTCTGCCTTTCTTCACTGCAGAGGTGCTCCAGTGCTCCCCTATGACCAGTAGGAATTCAGGTTTTAACATGTGAATGCACAAACACATGCGCATTCCAGGATGTATTCCAAGCGTGAGCCACAGACTACTGGAAATCTGGAATCTTGGGAGTGTGGAAAGCAAAAGGGCTTTTGACAGAACCATACTGCAGACAAATGCTGCTACAAAGCACATGGTCATACATCCCACATTAATTCAGCCTACACAAATGAAACCCTGGGAAGCCTATTCCCACCCAGATCCTTGCTGGAGCCCCAGCCTTCAGTCAAGGTTTAACCTTTGTATTTGGTTCAGACTGATAAAGAGAAATACAAAATAACAGTAATATGTTACACTGTAATATTATCTGTTCTGTGTTCTGGCAACATGGCAGTTTCAGAAAGCTATTTCACTACTTCTCTTGACTTCAAAAACTTGTACAAAAAGCAAAAGAGAGCAGAATAAACTCCACTGGTAGAGTGGGATTTCCAAAATTCCACTGAGCAAGCATCAAGTCTGGGTGACTTGATGCCCAGTCACCTCTGAAATCATGAAGTTTAAAAGCCAAAGTACTAATTAAAATGCAGACTGCATTTGCATTCAAAAGAAACCTTTGCCCACAAGCATGACTCAAGTAGCATGTAGGCTGAGGCGTAATAAGAAAGTATGGGGGAAATTACATATTGAGGATAAGAGTCTCCTGGGATGTCATTTAGGAAGCTTCCTTGTTAAGCACAAAATACACTTCTCAAGTACTGCACTGATGCTTTCTGAGACTTGATTGTCTGTGGTATCTATCACAATACTTTGTAGGAAAACTTTGGCTAAGTGCAAGAAGCCAGTGAGCCAAGAAATGAGATAGTATGAAGAAATGGGGATATTAAAAGAAACTGTCAGAATCCATGAAGATGGTAATTTAAATTACTTGTGGGTTTTTTTTTTTTTCTTTTGTTGGGGGTATTTTTCCCTCTGATTCTAGAACTCAGAATACTCCAGAAGCATGAGGGAACCTTGCTGAGTAAAACCCTTCCTCATTGCAAAAAGGAGGAAAATGTGAGAAAGTGTTTAAATCTATAAATTGGTGAAGTCTGCCTTTGGCATTCTCCATTTGCAAATTCAGAAGCAGTGAGCATTCTTGGAATTTTTTTTGCCAATTATACAGCAGAAGTTGAATGACAAAACAAACTTCAACAAATCTGATTTAAAATCTTAAGACTCCCTAAACCATTTTTTGTAAAGCTGAATAAAATGAGTGAGAACTAAGTCATTATGAAGGCTGAACTAATGATATGCAAAGTTAAGACACTACCGTGACTGGGATGCTGTCTTTTGTATCACTTTTTGTAGTGGCTTTGCACAAGTCATGGAGCAAATGCTGCACAATGACATTCAGGGCTCGGAGGCATAAGAAAACTACTGCAATTTCTGGAAAATAAATTTCCATAATACCATGTCCCTAGAATAATATCCTACTTATCCAATATGCAGAAAGTTTGCAGGCATTCTCTGCTCTTTTAACTATGAAACTTAAATACCTTGATTGCTCGGATAAATCGTGCTTGCAAGCGTTTTCCCAAAACCAGCAGGCTGTCTATAACTGAAGGAAGAAACTTCCTGCAAAATTCCTCAGGATCTTCTTTCACCTCTAGCCCTACACAACAATGACTGAAATGGAACAAAACAAAATGAAACAAAACAAAACAAAAAAAAAGAAAAAAAGGAAAAAAGTCAACCTGAATAGTCAAAGGCCTGTTTGAACAACTTTGAATGAATGTCACGTCATCGAAGAAATGCTTCAGTGGCATGAGACAATTCCCCCTGAACAACAGCTCACTGCTGTGACTGGCTCCAAGGTGGCTGCCTCCAAGGAAAAGCAACCTCTCACAGGTTGGAGACCACATTACTACTTATTATGGAATTTCTCAGTTAAAAACATATCCAAAACACTTTCTCCTCTAGCTTCATAGAAGCTCAGGCTTGTTCCATATTCTAGGGAAGGGCTCTGATGGTCGTAAAGAAGAAAAAAAAAAAGGAAAAATAGAAAGGTAGAAAAAAACCTGATAAAGTAAACCTGGTGATGAAGGGATGCACATCAGGAAGTGAAAATATATATAAAAATACACCACAAAACCTTCAGTGGGCCTATCTACAACTTTTCTCAAACTGAGGAAAGCATGTGGGCTAGAAATCAGTTCCTCAGATCTCAACTCTCTTATTTTACTCACTGCAACATGCTGGTAGTTTCTGGAAGACTTTTTACAAGAAACTGCATGTTTTACAACTGCTAAGTTGTTTCAATTCTGCATTGATACCAGTGCAACAAGAGTCTTCCTGACTTTTTACAAATTTTGCTTTCTGGTATCTTACCCAGGCTATATTAATTTTTGGGAATGCACACATGTAAAGCTGTCTACCAAAGCCCTTGGAAAACAAATTCTAGGCATGAAGCTGAGAGTCATCTAGCTACAAAAAGACATTTTTAGAGCTAAAATAAATTTCAGTATTCTCTGCATCTGAAACAGCTTTTAGGGGATGATTTAAGTATCACACTACTCTGGTGATAACTCATGCACCCCTTACTGAAATTCCTTGCATTAAAAATTCATACTGCAGATATAGCATAAATAAAAGATGGTCACATAATTACTTCATGCCTTAGAATTTTACTCCCTAGTTAAGCCAAAACTAAACTTTAGGAAACTTTAAAATGTATTATTTTTCCTGACATTTAAAATTGAGATTGGATCACTGGGGGTTTGAGTTTAAAGTTTTCTTATTTACAATGCCATTCTCACAATATCACTACATCAGGTTATCTAGTCTGTATGAACTGTGTCATCTATTATATTTTAAAATGTAAATAGATACTTCAAATGGGTATATTAAATAAATATTTAAATACAGTCAAGCCAAGCAGTGAGACAATCAGGTTGAAGATCTTTGCAAGATGAAATCTAAGCAAACAAAATCACAAGTTTTAAATAACTACAATTCAAAATTATATAATTACTGGGTAAGAACTGTTGGACTGGTGAGTACTGTCCACAAAAAAAGGTAAAGCCAAGACAAACCCTGTTCCCACCATACAGTTCCCCCAGCTCAATGAAACACAATGCAAATGAATTAAACAGGACCAATTAGGCTATGCCTGACCCCTCTGCTCTTGACTGCTTCCCTGCACTTTAACCCTGGCCTTTCCTGAACAACAAGCCTTGTTCTGGATGGGAGCCAATGTATTACAGCTTGACAAGAGAAAGAGCAAGATGAAAGGACAGAAAGAAAACTTCTTAGCTTTTTTTTTTTTTACCTTAGTATCTCTGCTAGCTGGGCAGCAGTAGCCCAGGCTCCATGCAGCTGAGAGTGGTCTTGCTTAAGGACCAGCAAGCAGTACTGAGTGAGACCATAATCATATATATCTTGCTTAATTTTATTTGATTCTTCACATCCTAAGGAAGGACTGCTTAAAATTCCTGTGGGAAGAAAGTGGGAGAGAGACAAAGAGGAACATAAGATTCTGACGTGCAGGTTTTTTTTTTCTTTTTCTAAAATGTAAGAAGAGTATATGTACATAGGACAGGATCCAGGATTAAAGGAATTGTAAAAGTGCTAACAACAGCATGAAATATTTTGTCAGCAATTTCTACTGCTACAGCTACAACTCATTTGTAAGATAATATGACAATTGGGAAGGATAGCTAAACTTAGGTTTCCATTTTCTCTCTACATATTTAGTTGCAAAACATACATTACCTGGGATGTGAACCATTTGCATGAATTTCCTAGGCTAGATAAAACCACAACCACTGGGAAACATATAGCTTCCTTATAATTACATCCCAATTTAGAACAGGACCCGACTTGTTTCAACCATTCCTATGAGCAGTGGCTGTATAGCAGAAGGAAAGACAGGGAAGTCACACAGGAATTTATGATCTTGTTTCTATGTTAAGATTTAAAAACTGAATACTGAAAATTACACTGGCTTTCTGCCTAAAGAACACTGAGAAAAATTATTTGACCAAGTGTAAGATCCTTGCCTGTATCAGCAGGGAAAGGGCCCACATTATCAGGGTGACAGCTGAAAAGCAGAAAAAAAATTCTGTACATTTGCTTCTCAGCTCCTCCTCCTTATTTTTGCCAAGTGAAACGCCACTCTCAGGAAAAGCTGCCGTACCAACCTTTCTTACAGAGTTTCAGAAAAACCTTCTGCATTTAAGGAGGTAGACAGGAGAAGGACTAGCCATAGTTCACCAGCTCATAATTTTATTTTAGGACTGGCATTAATTACCCTTTAACTTCAGCAGCAGCAGGGGGATGTCCTGTTCTCTACTCTCAGTGATCTGAGCAGCCAAGGCCAGGACCTGGGGGTCCGTGGCTGCCATAGGGAACAGCCAGAAGCGCACACCACCATCGATCCAACCTCTTTCCTTTTTATGTTAAGGCGTGGGGCCCTCACGCCACTACTTCACCCCAGCTCCTGCACCACCAGCTGGAAGCCTCGGCCGCACAACTCCCCTGAGGAAGAAAACAAACATGGAGGAAGCCCCAGCGCGCTCCCTCTGGAGGCCGCGGTCTGCCGGACTGGCTCTGCCGGCAGGCGCACCTCCGGCCGGCCAGCGTGAGCGCGGCCTCCGGGGCGGGCAGCAGGAGCGGCCTCACCTCACGCAGAGCCGGGAAAGGGCAGAGGGAGCGGTGCCTTCTCCCAGCGGCGTCACCCCGGTGCCCCCGCCAGCCCCGGGGGCGCTCTGAGGGGACCCACGCGCACCCCCGGCACCGCCGCGCGGGGGCGCCCCGGCTGCGGGGCCGATCCCGCCGTCCCCAGCGCCCCCCTTCCCTCACAGCTGTGTGGCCGCGGCCTCTCTCCGCCAACCAGCGCTCTCCCCTGCGGGAGGAGGGTACATTTGCATATCCGCGTGCGGGCTGGCGACTCCGCCACCCCATTGGCGGAAACCTACGTGGGGACGCGCCCGCCGGCCAATCCGGCCGGGGGGAGGCGGGGCTCTGTCCGTCTCGGCCTATCGGAGCCCGCGGGGGCGGGGCCCACCGGCCCGGGCGGCGTGAGGGATGCTCGGTGCGGGCGGCGGTGCCGGCCGCAGGGCCCGCCATGGTGTGAGGCGCTGTCGCGATGAACGGAGCGGTCCCGTCGCTCTACGACCCCAAGGCGCGGGTGCTAAAACTGGGGGAGAGCTTCGAGAAGCAGCCGCGCTGCGCCTTCCATACCGTCCGCTGTGAGTGCTGGGGTTGGGGCAGCTCTCGGGGGCTGCGGGGGTCGAGGAGGGGTTCGGCGGCCCCCGCAGTCCCCTGAAGAGGGAGGGGTGGCTGCGGCCACTCTCGGTGGTGCCTCTGTCCCGGGATTCTGGGGCGCAGCTGGGCGCTGAGTGCCGTGGAGTGCTGCTCCGGGATTTTGGAAGCAGCGCAGGTCTCAGTCGGTGCTGGGAGCACGTACGGCCATTGTATCCTAGTGCTGCCCCTCGCTCTCCGCTGGGCACTAACTTCGCTTTTTGTGCCTTTTCCATAGTGTCTTCCTGCGGTTCTGCTGCAAACCGAGCTAAGATGAACCGGTGGCTCTGTCTCCTTTCCTTGCGCTCAGTTTTTAGAAGTTCCGTGTAATTCAACAATCAAAGGTTAAAGGCAGGCAGTGTTAATCACGGAGCCAGTACGCCCTCCCTGAGCACATAATTACTATCTAGAGAGGTGTGTGCTCAAAGATTCTGAGGGTAGCTAGGAAACTAATGCTCCCAGGATTATAGTCCTTGGTAATTTAGGACTGCAGCTTCTGGTTTTGTTGTCTGGTTATTTATAGACTGATATCCCCAAGATTCAGAGAACATATGCTCTCTGGAGAGTGTCCGGTGTGCAAGATGGGTAATGTGCTCTCTGTGAGCAAAGGGAACGGCACTTAGGCAGATTGTCTCCCAACTGTAGAAGCGGAGGAGAGGGGAAAAAAAGCTATAAATGGATTTAAACAAATGCTGCAATTTGAAATTTACCCTAATTTTAAAGAGGACTAACAACCCTGTCTGGTACCTCCTACCCTTAGAGTTTCATGCTGACTCTTGTAATGTGATGATTTATTCTGAAATCTGTTTTGAAATCTCTCTTCCTTTCCAACAAATGAGACATAGAAACTGGTATGTTCATCAGATCTATCAAATGCTTACACAGAACTATCTTCTGACACCTGACTTTTTAAAACAGTTGAGTAAAAGGGAAAACAGCTGTTGGTCAGAAGTTAAGATTGGAAGTATCAATATCTTCATTTTCTCAATTGTTAACAGCCCGGTGGCCATATATAAAAGTAAATATTCTCTGATGCTTATTCCTGTAGGATATTTAGGGGTTTGCCCTAAACAAGGTTAGCAGGGGCTGTCACCTGTGTCTGAGCTGCTTCCTGCGCGCACAGCCCTGCCCACCAGCTCCTGCAGCCTGGTTTTCCTGCCCGGTTGGTGTGCTGGCTGGAGCTGTGCTTCCCAGCTGTGGTCTGTGCAGCCTGGCCCGTGGCTGCAGGCCGAGTTGGGGAGCTGGGAAGCGCCCCAGCTGCAGGAATGCCGCCGTCGGTGACCAGCAGCGTGAGATGGGGCAGACAGCGAGGCGAGGAGCGTGTGCCGGCCCATGGATCCCCTCCGCACCTTCTCCGGCGTGCGAGGCAGGGCACCGGCATCCCGGGTGCGAGACTGGCCCTGCCTTACTGCAGCGGCGGGCTCAACCCCACAGATGTTATCGCAGGCCTTGAAGAACCTCTTGATACTACACTGTCTCCCTAAATCGGCACAAGCAGAGTTTTGGCTGTAGCCTTTTCCAATATATTTGTGGTGGAAACAATACTTTGTGGGTAATGGTATGTGACAGAGCTGCCGTGCTGATGCCTGAACACATGCTCATTTGCAATGTCTTGGAATTTTGAAAAGGACCAGAAATCGATATCCTCTTTTGCTCAAAACTTATTTTAACAAGTCCTTTAGATGCTGAAAAAAACAAAATGTAAATCAACGTTAAATTGGGAAGGAATTTCACTTTTAACAGAAATAACTATACCGAAACACCAAGTTTTTGTCAGGTTATGACATGCTTGTTCCAGTAAAGTTAGAAACAGAGAAATGCATATTGAGGGTTGATGTTGTTTTTTGCATTTTCAATCACTTGTCTATATCTCCCATGTTTAGGATCAGCATTTTCAAGAAGTATTTATTGATTCTTCTGAAAATAATTACATGAGAATATACCTTTTGTAATAAAACACAGCTTGTTTAGCTTTCTAATCCATTAAAACCTAAAGGCATTTCTTCTAATTTTAACCAAAAGATTTAAACACTTATAATGAATCCTGAGAAAAGCAGCTTGACTTTGAATTCAATTGACTTATGGAATGATCTGCTCAGGGGAATGCTAGATGATACACTAGCAAAAAAGGCTTTTACTTAATAGCCTCCAACTGCAATTAAGTGGAGCCTGCATTTATAAGATTCCTGAAAAGCCTGTAAATAATCTAGTTTGTTTTTATATTTAGATGACTTTAAGCCTGCATCTATTGATATGTCCTGTGAAGGTGACCTTGAAGTTGGCAAAGGTGAACAGGTGACAATAACGCTACCAAATATTGAGGTGAGTTGATGTGGCTGAAGAGTGGTGGGCTTAAAGGAATGATTTATTTTGTCGTCCTGAGTATATATCCTGACTATGGAAGGGTATAAAGTTTTAGTGCTGTTTCAGAGCTGCCTGAGTGATTTTTAGAGTAGAAAAACAAATTTTCTAAAAATGAAAGATTACAAAAGACCCAAAGGTTAAACAGCTGCACTGTAACTTTAAGTGTCTTTGCTGCACTGGAAATATGCTGTAGGATGACCCAGAAGTGTTGCGTACACAGAAAAGCTTCATGTGTATGTTGGCAGTGCAAGTTTCCCCTTGGTATTTATTGCTCTAGTGCACTCCTAAAGCAGGAAAGACTGGAAAAGGAAAATATACTACCTGCCATGCTTTAGTGCTCCGCTGATATGGGACCTGAAACCCATTTGATGAGAGGAATCCTAGAGAGAAATAAGGAAATATTGGGAAATAAGCATTTAATCAGTTTCAAACTAAGCTAAATGAGTAGAATCCCATTCCAGTCAAACATCAGCTGCTTTTGTACATGGCTACTGTGAATCTAATTTGAATTAACCAATAACATTTTTAATGGTTAGAAATGATCACTTATAGTGAACTTGTCACCACTGAAGGATTGCTGTTTCTAAGAAAAACAATACAGGAGTAACACTTACTGGACTTCTGATTTAATAGGGCTCAACTCCGCCAGTGACTGTGTTCAAGGGCTCGAAGAAACCGTATCTAAAAGAATGTATCTTAATTATCAACCATGATACTGGAGAATGTCGCCTAGAGAAACTTAGTAGCAACATCACTGTGAAAAAAACCAGGTGGGTGATTTACTAATTTTGAAAATCAATGTTAATGAGTCTAAACTGAGATATATAACTACATGTCACTATTTTTAGGAAAAGACAATTTTAGAAAGTACCTAGCCTTGCTCAAAGGAGTGAAAACCCTGCTTTCTCAGCAAACTGACTTCACATCTTTTGAGTCATGACTGCAGAAGAAATTGAAATATATTTTTTTGTTAACCAAAACATGTTATGTTACTGAAAGAAATAGTAACTATTTTCTGGTGTGTTTAGAGGGAGAAAAAAAAAGATCTGTTTGGCTAGTAGCTTGCCTACTGTCTTCTGGTTTATAAATGAGGAAGTTAAAGAAAATTTTGTTACAGGTCCCAGTAATTGCAATAGCTTGTTTTTTTCATACCAAGTTTTAAAATATTTTTTTCTGCTGCTAAGTCCACATAAGTAACTTCCAGGAGAAATTTTATTAAGTGATCAAGTGATCCTGGGTAGCAAGGTATAAAAACAAATCAATTGACAAAGTGTTATAAAGTTATTAGCACTGTATAAAAATCATTTTAACACATATTATTGTATTAATATATCATGTGTATTAGTATAACAACTTACCTAAGAATCAAATGATGCTATTTAAAAAGTCATGAGAAATAATTCCATGGTATCATATCCTCTGTTCTTGCCTTTTTCCTTGCCTCTTGCCTTCTAGTAATTTAAAATCTTTTCCTTTTACACCCAGAGCTGAAGGAAGTAGTAAAGTCCAGTCTCGCATTGAGCAGCAACAGCAGCAAATGCGAAATGCAACAAAGGTTCCAAACAATGTTAAAAACTCTCCATCAAAAGATAAAACATTTCCATCTTCTCCTATGGATGATATTGAACGGGGTAAGCTCCACTGGCACATAAGTTTCAGAAATTTTGTTGTTACCAAGCAATTAGTTTTTAAGAGGCACTTGTGTGTGTAGGTTGTTTTTGTTTTGTTTTGTGTTATTTGAGTTTCACACTAGAAGCTGATTATGTAAGCAACTTTACCCTGATATGGAGATGACCACTCTGGCTCAAGTAGGTAAAAAAGCAGTATTTGTAGCTTGCTACAGTAAAAAAAAACCAGCTGAACCATTAGGCTTAATAATGCCAAGGGATCTGCTGCTGTCTCCTTGACTCTGTCTTCCACAGCTACTTTAATCAAGTATATGCTTGGTGGTATTGGAACCAAGTCACTTCCATTTTGATATTGCT